CGCTCGCTCACTCGCTCGCTCGCTCGCTCGCGCGAGCGCGCGCCGAGAGAGTAACGATAGCAGCTGAATTCGCGTACAATTAACATAATTAAATTGCAGTTAACGTTGTAGCGGCAAAATTTCCAGCAACGAAATGTGATTAAAACTTGTTTATCTAAATTTATATCCTCGACGGAGGCGCAGTCCCTTGTATCTCGGCTGCGCGGCGCTAGTTATTCGAATTCTCCCGGTGGAGATTAACCCTCGTAAAAGAGTTAAAACAAGCCTCATCCTTTTTCCCGTCCCTAATCTGGCGGTTTAGCGTTCGCTGATCCACCTCACGGTAAGTTTACTTGGCAGTCGAGGATTTACAGCGGAGGACCAATCGTCCAGCTGCTGTACTATGTGCACTTACCCTCACACACACACACACACACACACACACACACACACACACACACCACACACACACACACACACACACACACACACAAACACACATATACCTCGATGCATACCCCCATGTGTATATGTATACGTATGTATAAATGCAACAACGTGCTTTCGTTCCGCTGCGAATTGAAATGCGAAACGTTTATTTATGCAATTCGTTATATACACTACCCGCGTGTTATGGCTGTTACGCGCTACGTAAAAACGGAAAAAAACCATTTGCGAGGATCCGGGATAAAAAGAAGTAAAAACACTGAATTTTCCAATAGCCTGATAAATAACGAGGCGTCGACGAAAAGGGGGGAAAAAAGAGATATTAACGAGACCGCATTCGCGCGACACTGCGAATTTACGTTCAGCACGTTCCCGCTAAAGTCGGCTTAATCACCGACGTTAGTTTCCCTAATTTTCCCTAATACCTCGCGACCGTAGCGCGCTTCCGCGCTCGCCTGCAGATATCATATTTTTCTCACGGCGAAAACAAGCAGCAGTCATAATGCGCCGTCAGTACCGATTATGTTATCATGACGCCGCGATCGATCTCGATATACCAGACAATAAATTGAAAAAACATTAAAGATACGCTCGCAAAATTAATATGTAACAACTTACTAGCGGCTGAAATCAATATCTCATTGGGAGCCGCGTTGAATTTAATTATTATTAAATTCAATAATAATTAAGGCCGCGTAATTCACGCTGAGAGTCGGGAGCGGGGGTGGGTTTCAATATTCATAGGGCTCGCCGCCAAAGGGAGGGAAAAGACCAATTGCACACCGTTAAGCGACTTCAAATGTTAAATAAACTTGATGCGAGAGGCGAATTAACTTCCCCGGCCCCTTTCCCACGCCCTCCTACGATCGCGCGTCTCACCCGTACCCCTCGCCACCCTTCCGAAGAGTCACACGACGTGACTAACAGCACAATAAGCCATCGATCTCTCTCCCCCTCTCCTTCTCTCACTTTTCCATCCCTCCTTCCCCCTCCCTCTCTTACTCTCTCTCTCTCTCTCTCTTTTTTTTCGGGGGTAAACTCGTTCCGTTGGAACAATCGGATCGCCTCGAAACGATCGCCCATTCAAACAGCTCCCGACAACCTAGTCGGGTGACGAAAAAAGAAAAAAAGGAAAAACGAAGGCAAAGCCGATGACGGAGAGGCAGCGCGGAAAAAATCGAAGCGCGCGGAACGAGAGGTGGGAAGGTGATCGCTCGACACGTCGACAGGGGTCGGAATCCGCCCTCTTTTGGATGCCGTCGGGCGCGACGCGGCACGGTGCGGAGCTGCATGGTGCGAAAAAATCCCCGAACAAAAATATACACTTCTCGTTAACCCCGGAAAATTAAATCTTTTCCCGAGTAGGAAGATCCCGAGTAAATCGGCGCGATCCCCGCCCGACCAGTCGCGACGGGGAAATCCCGCGTGGTGCTCATTCTCTCTGAAATACGCCGTCGTGTTCGCCCGGACGTCGCACGAGGATTTTCCTCGCGCGGAAAATTCGGCCACGCAAAATCTCCGAGCCGGCTAATTCGCGCGTGTCAAAAGGCGCGTCGTCGATTTTAACGCGCTGTTTATCAATCGTCCGAATCGATCGACAGCGCGATCATTTTCATGATTAACGATCGACGGTTCAGTCGCGCGGCGAATGATTAATTCAGCCTCTATTATTCCGACTACTTGACAATTATGATCGCTAAATAATTACGATCAATAATCGCCGATTTGATCGTTTGGCGATTGCGCTTCCGATATAAGCATTATCTTCGCGTTGCATTATATATATGTATGTATATATATATGTATGTATATATGTATGTATATATATCGCGGCTTTGTTCGCATTTGCTTTCACATATTCCGCGAGCCGCGCTGTAGCAAGACGCGTCCTTCGCGGTCAGATTGATGCAGTCTTCATTGATACAAAAAGCGATTTTAGCTGTTGCTTTGTCATCGCTCCACTCAGTCACTCCCGTAGACGGCGAGGTTGAGCTACTGCGTGTCCGCTGTCCCGTCGGCTTAACCGTATTTTTCACGGCGGACCTCACCTCTCCTCTGGTCGACTTGCTTCTTCTTCTTTTTTTTTTTTTTATTCACCGGCTTTCGAAGCCCGTTATCGTCGTAGAAGAGCACAAACGCGTCGAATATGGGGACGCGAACGCGAGCGAAGAGACGCGACGCGTCGAGTCGAGTCGAGTCGAGTCGCGTCGCACTGCACACCCACCAGTCGCCCATTAAACCCGTCGATTTTATTGGAAGCTCTTTCTGGCTTCCAGGTCGGAAAGTCGCGGCGGAACGTGAAAAAAAGGCTCGGCGGGAGAGCAACGTGTGCCCTCTCGGTAAGCCGAGACGTCGCGCGCCCGTCGAAAAATACGCTCGTTAACTCGTTACTCGTCCGAGAAAAAGAGAGAGAGCGAGGGCGAGAGACAGGTCGGTAATTTTATCGGGATCGCCCGACGTTTTATAACGATGCAACTTTGCTTCCCAATGCATCCGCTAGTACGGAGTAGCGGCGGAATTCACGATGCAAATGCCACATTAAAGGGCAGAAAAAAGGCGGCGAGCCGCACCGGCGAACATACGACCGCGCGAGACAAGCGCGTATTTTTACATAACCGGCGAATATATTTGTTGCCTCACATTGCGATGATTAATTTTGTTGGCGGAATACGGGAATATTTAATAGGACCGAGTCCGTACGTTATCATTATAGCGGCATTGTCGAGCAACTGGACGCGCATACACAAACTGCTCGGAGGAACGCTCGCTCCGAAAAATACACAAGTTCAAAGACACGAAAATTGCGTAATCCGTGCATCCGGTTTCTCGAGAAGCAAGAAGAGAAAGAGAGAAATGGCAAGCGCCGACACCGATATCATTATATCTCGCTCAGATGTTTCTCGAGATAATTTTACGACCCTGTGAATCTCTCTTTCTTCCCGCTCCCCCGCTTTCTCTTTCTCTCATTCAGTCCTTCTCAATCAGAAGTTCGTATATACAAAGTACTAAGATAAGCTTCGTCGGCGACGAGTCGATGATTAAAATTAATACAAAACCGCGGTATTTTTGCTCGATCTGCGATGCATGTCTAGCGAGCGAACTAAATATATCATCGCGGCGACGTTACACCACGGTATGCAATATTTAATGTATCCGTGAACAACCGACTTAATTGACAACTGAGATTTCTTCTGAGGCGCCTCCCTCCGAGTCTATTCCGAGATCAAAATGGATGAATTCGCGTTCAAAGCACGACGGTGTCGCGACATTGTCACGACCGTCAGGCTTCCGCGTCTGTACACACGTGGGTGGCTGTGGCTGAATGTCTATGTAAGTTTACGTGTGTGTATGTGTGCGTATATACGACACACGAACGAAATCGTGTCCGATTTCATCGCGAAGACGTAACGAGAACGTGACCGTGCCTCGGTGATGCTGCCTTTTTGTGCAATGAGTGAAATCGACCACGCGACTTACACCCCGATGACGTGAGATCAGTCCGGAGTTTCTCGGAGTTCCGCGAGAAACCGATTTGCGAGACGAAGCTTCGCGCGCGCGCGCGCGCGCATATGTGTGCACACTGCGTCAACCGACACGAGCGAGAACGAAAAGTCGAAAACGTACAATCCGATAAAATGACGTTCGTATGTCGGATACGCCGGAGGCAAATCTGTCAGCGGCAATCGCGGTGGTCGGAGAGGAGAGCTTCTCGAGGCACAAAGCGGCATTGTCGAGTATCGTCTCTTCGGCTGGAAATTGTACTTTTCTAATCACAGCTCTGTGACTTCGCGTACGAACTTACTTCATTTCACGCTCGAAATAAACAAGACAAGCCCCGTACTTTTCTCTCCTTTCCGATCCCTTCCATCTCTTTATATTTCGGGTATATTTCAGCCTCAATTCAGAGCTCTGCGAATATAAGTCGTATTACATATATAATCCAAATACACGTGTGTCTCATTATTGGACACTTTTGTCATAATTAAGGATAAAGCCATACCGAGGAGCAGTTCCGGTGCGTCCAAAGTTGCCTCGTATATCCTTGGTTCTCACCCTTCGACAGCAACAACAAAAGTTGCTCGGCCGTAATCCCTAATCATCCTTAGGGACTTTAATCCCTGAACAAGAATCTCGTTGTCTAACTTAGCAGTTTAACCGGCGAACGCGTAATAATTCTGTTTATTTCTCGTGCTCTCTCCCTCTCTCTCTCTCTCTCTCTCTCTCTCTCTCTCATTATTCATTATCGGGAGAAACAGCAGCGGTCTGACGAAAGTTTCGTAAAACTGCAGCAGCATTTGGTTGTGAGCGTCTCGCCGAGGGGGGAGGAGGAGGGGAGGGAGAAGAAAAAAGCGGTACCGCTCGCTTACTCACGTCATACAATTTTCCCCTCTCTCCGAATACCGTCATCGACATCCGGAGGAAGAGGCGCCTCTCGCGCGGCCACTGCTATATATTACGCCGTGTCGTACACGTCACGCACACTTTGAAGCATATCGTGAGAGAAGGAAAGGAAAGGAAAGGAAAGGAGAGGCCACAACGGGCACGCGTCTCTCTCTCAGCTGGGCACAGTGAGTCGCGCGTACCCGTAGTGAGAGTACCGGAGTCGATCGGCAGAAGCGCACTCGAGACTCTTCGTACATCAGGACATCGCTGCTGTTGCCGTTGCAGTTTGCACCGCGCGTTGTCCTCTCGCGAAAGCCTCGATCGATACACCTCTCTCTCTCTCTCTCTCTCTCTCTCGCTCGTTCTCTCTCTCTCTCTCTCTCTCTCTCTCTCTCTCTCTCTCTCTCCCGCTCTGCCTGCCTGCCTGCCCTCACGGACTCCGAGATCAAACGACGCGATCTTGAACGGCGACCCGAGCAGCCCAGGGTTTCAGTATGACTCTGGCAATCAAGGTGAGTGACGAACGTGCGCAACAGGTTGATGCACTCTCACGCGCTACGCATCTCTGCCTGTATCCATGTATATATCTTTGTGTCTGTGCATGTATATATATATGTACGTATGTATGTATATATATGTATATGTATATGTATATATGTATATATATGTGTGTGTGTATATATATACACACACGCGGTCGGTGATTTAAAGTTCTTGGGGAGGAAGGTGGGAAAGCACCCTTGAGGGAGGCCTGCGCGCACGAGCGAGAGCGAGAGCGAGAGCGAGAGCGAGAGCGAGAGCGAGAGCGAGAGAGAGAGAGAGAGAGAGAGAGAAGCCAACGTTTAGGATCGCGGTTGTTTCGGTATGCCGGCAAAATTCCCGCCGCGATAGTAACCCGCTGCGATCCGCTCCGGGAAGATTGTTCATCGGGGCGTTTAAGGTGGAGGCGGGCGCAGCGCGAGTCACCTGTGACCCTGCCTCGGCGAAGCCGCCCCACGTCGTAGATCCGTGCACTAACAGAACGTTTGAAGAACACGCGGGGAAAGGAGAAGGACTCTTTTTCTGTCGTATGATTTATTTCCGTACGATTTATTTTTATCGAGGGACCGCCCGGCTACGGACGAACAAATTCGCGTCGGGATACGCGTCATTTTGCATAATTGTGCATTCACCGGTTGCTGCGGAGTTGCGTCGAAAATGGCGCGGTTTCTCACGGCGATGCTCCTCTGTTCGCGCTCACGTTCGATAATCCGCCATAGAGATAAGCGGGGGAATTATGTTGCGAGCGCAGCTAAATATGCGCTGTTTAACTTCGCGGGAAACGATCCGGTGACGGGACAAAGAAAAAGCCGCGTGTCGCGAGTGCAACTCGCTGCTATGATTTTAACCGTAATTTATTTAATTGCGCGCGGACCTCACAGTTGCGCGCGTGCGTGTCCCGAGAATAATTAATTTTTGAAACTTGCGTTTAGCTCTCGGCTACCCGCTCGCTCGCTCGCTTGCTCGCTCACTCATTCACTCACACATTCAAACGTTCCTCCGCGCGTGCACGAAGCAAATATTGGAAGCCAATAAAGATATAATTTACACGCTGCATTGCTGAGTTTGGAATTATAAACATTGTTTCGCGCGTGCTCGTGAAGGATCAGATTAATGCGCTATTAGATTACGCCAATAACGTTTCGTTGTTGCACGCTTTTGCACCGGCTAAACGCTCGTGTGATGCAAAATAATTGCGCCTTGCGGCGAGAAAACATCGCAGAGTTCGCTCGAAAGTGATATACTCCGAAATTGCATCCGTTTATAGAACGTAACAGTTACTCGCGCCGCGCGAATTTACGTGTGTGTGTGTGTGTGTAATGCAAAAATAGTCTGACATGCATCAGACAATGAAAAAACCTCGAGATCTTGGTGCCGTTAACGAAACGCACGTATCCGTCATTAAGTATTCTTATTGGATCGGATCCGATACGTAACAAAGTAGCAGTTATATCAGAATTAAATTAAAGCGCTTCGCAATTGGACGTATCCGTCGTTGAGACCGCAGACGACCTACAAAGAATATAACGAGTTTGGAATAAACGCGCGTTCAACATTTACTTCGTTGTAAGCAAGATAGAAAATCGTTCCGTGGCATCGTTCGCGAAAGATTTCTCTGATACGCGAGAAATTGCCAAAAATTTTATCATCTCGAGATAAAACGCGCGATTCGAGCCAGGTCACCTTCATTGTCGCGAGTACGACCGTCGCATCACGTAAGAACATTACGTAATACCGAGACGCACTCGCTCCGGCGAGAAGCTCGGCTTGGAGCCAGGTATAAAATATTATGAACGCGGAACGCGAATTTTCCGGTGATAAAATCGAATTATCGAATTTCCGCACGTAGAGCGATCGCGCGATCGCACGCGCACACACATCGCGATTGAAACACGGACTTATCGGCAATGCGATAACATTATAATTCATACGTATCGCAATCGTACACTTATGCAAAAGGTGTGGAAACGTCGCCCGAGCGGAATAACAATCGCGAAGGTTGTCGAACGATCTCGCAATGTCGCAAAGTTTGCGTTCGCACGAGCGGCGATGAAGATAAACTCGAGCTGTCGATGCTACGAAAATTATTTGAATTCGAAAGGTACGAAATTCAATTTAAGAAAAATTAAGTTTAGAAACATCATCTTCAGCGAAATAAAATATAGTAAGTAAATATAAAAGCGGAATATAAAAAATGTATATTCGGCGTTATTAAAATATTTTATAGCCGTTGCGTTTCATATCGCGAATCCGACAGTTTTATGAGAACAGCGCAATATAAATATTCCGAGTCGCGAGTCTCGATAATCGAGTTCGCTCGATAATCGTCGATCAACGATTTGCTGTTAATTTCATTGTGATAATTTGATCGAGCTCCGCGCGAATTTGTATTCATGGAACGGGATGTCGTTTATCGGAGGTGTTATTCATCGATAACGCCATAACGTATCAAAATACGAAGACACGTCTGGCCGGTGCGACGACCCTGCTAATATATCTCGATTATCGTTAAGCAACTGTAAATTAGTTTGATAACCATAAATTAATACGACTGCAATAATACCGCATCGGCGGCAGGAAGGGGGGGGGCGGCGAGGCAGCAGCGGCGTCGGCGGCAGTGGCGTTAAATTATTATTTATCGAACGCCACACCGATATCGGGCGTACGTAACTTACAGGACGGTATTCCGCGAGATATATCTCGGTTACCACTCACCGACAGAGCCCCCGGAACGGTAACTACAGATTAATTTTATAGCCGCAAATGCAGCGCGCAGACGTGACGATACGACGCGACGCGACGCGACGCGGCGGGATGCGAATAAATCACCGAGTCGAAGCCGGAGAGAAAGTGCGACGTGCGTGAGCACGCTCGCGAGCACACAAGCCGATAACTGCGCGTAATTATTGTTGCATACGGGCGGCAATGAACGTAATTAATACTATACTAATACTGCGGTTTCGCGGCACGTCGTATGCTTACAGCGCATTATCGGTCGCATTGAATACGAAGCGTAATTAACGGCCCGTATGCGGATCGGATATGTATAAACGGGAAAGAGATAAATAGAGAGAGAGAGAGAGAGAGAGAGAGAGAGAGAGAGAGAGAGAGAGAGAGAGAGAGAGAGAGAGAGAGAGAGAGAGAGACAGACACAGAGAGAGGCTGCGCACATATATATGTGTGCGTGTGTGTGTGTATACACGCGTAGGCGCGATGCGATGCACTCGTTACTCGCAACTCCAAACATTCCGGCGCATTATATAAGCGGCGGTGCGAAGCGGCTATCGCGGGAGCGACGTGCCGACGATAAAATCTATATCGCCGCCAATTTGCCATTCAGGACGGGCAATAATTCTTATAATTCACAGCGGTCCGCGCGGAAGTAAGCGGTTTTGCGCGGCCCGTGCCCGCATCGAATCCACAAATCACTCCCGGCCGCGTATATGCGCGTCTAAGCGCGGCTCGCCGTGATTTACGGAGCCGTCGCGATTATTAGGATTCTGCCACAAAAGTCGAAATTCGAGATGCTGGGCCTCCGCCGGGAAATCAGACGTACCGCCGCGCGGCGCGAACTAAGCGGCGGCGCGCGAGCGGTTTGAGACGCGGGGCGTAATTACGGTCGTGATTAAACTGCATTTGGGTCGCGAGCTCTCCTTGTTAATGCGCGCGCCGCGTTATTTTATACATCGTCAGGACGGCAAGCTCTCGAGTTAATTTCTACGAATGATCCATCTTTAATGTTTTATTCATATGCATATATGTGTGTGCTATAAAAAGAACACGTCGAGACTGGTCATAATTAAAAATGAATCTCTTTATTTAAATTGTTCGGTGGAAATGCCAGCGTCTTCTCTGTGAGGCCAATAATGAGAAATCTATTATTCGTGAATGTCACGCGCGCATTAATCCCGCAATAGCCATTGCTGTTATAAAAACGGCATCGAGCATAAAGAATCGCCATAAAGTCGGCTACGTGTGTAGACGTGGGAGTCTGACGAACGCGAGAAAGATGGTCGAACGAATATGCGGCTGAGAGGTTACAACGAAATCCAGGCCGGAGAAAGCAGTGAAAGGGTGGCGAGATTAAAATTCAAATTATCCCACGCGCGTGCTGGAAGAAAAAACCGAGGAGAAAAAGAAAGAACAGAGGCGCGGTGTAAGCGGCGCGACGGGTGAATCATACATACGTTCCCGATTGCGGTGCGAGCGGTTTCAGCTCCAAACGGGTTTAGTCGCGAGACGATATGCAAAAGAGGGCGACGACGAGGACGTCGATCGGGGCACGAATAGATATCACAAAGGATGTCAAAGGAATCCAATAAACAGCGCGCGAAGGTATTTCGATTGCCTCGAGAGACTCGGGTGTATTACGACCTCGTGATAATCTAGAAATACGTTCCTACATGGAAAAGCTATCGCGTCCGGTAATCAACGCGTTTCCATTAAAAGCGTTCGATTAACGTCGCCGTCGTAGTCGTCGCCTAGTCGTCGCGTAGTCGTCGTTATCCTCGTCGTGGTCGTCATCACTTACGCAGAGCGACACGGCGAGCGCGAGCGAGGGCTTACGCACGCACTATATTTTTTTGATTGGCGCAAATTCAAAGAGCCAATTGACCCAGATCTCTCTTCGGAGGCATGAAAACTATCACGAACCAGCCGGCCGGCGGTACCATCGGGCGGATGTGTATTTCGTTCGCGATATAAAACTGTTTGAAACAGCTAGAGGAAGATATCACAATATATATCCTTTTTCAAAAAAAAAAAAGTCTGTGCACCACCTGGTGCGGGGTATCCGATGTGTCAACAATTTCATGATTAACACTCGACCCTCGACACTCGGCGATCATAATAACGCTCATATAATGCTCATATAATGGGCGCGCGTTATGACCGCTCGCGTGTCAAGTATCTAAATTCTCTCGATCTCGCCGCTGAACTCGATCAGACCAGCGGACACGAGTCGAAACGTACAGTCCACCTACTGGTAGTAGTCACTCATCGGGCGAGATAATTCGCCATCAAAATATAATGGCACTTCGCAAAATATAATGGCAATTAGCGCTCGTTAATTTTCCGAGACGCAAGAATCCGGTCTGATAAGGCGGACGCTTTATCGCTTATCGGCATAGAACGACACGCGCGTTCCACGGTCGGAAAAGTGCGGCGAGGAGAAAATTCACTTGCCAAATTAGAGGCGGTCCGGGCGCACGTGCGAGCTTATTAAAAAGAGGAAACTGCGTGCGCGCGCGAGAAAGACAGAGAGAGAGAGAGAGAGAGAGAGAGAGAGAGAGAGTCGGAGGCGGCGAACCGGTGGTGGCGCGGGTGGGTCGCACGGGGCGACGAGACGATGGAGGTAATTTAAAAGCGGCGACCTTAGTTAAGCCACGGCGACAGCGATGACGACGACGATGTATGCGACGGTGCAACGAGATGTACCGGCGTGTCGCGGAGAAGGGCGGCGGGCGCGTGGGGCAGGAAAGGGATCGCGGAGGGGCGGGGGAGGTAGAGGACTCGGGCGAGAGCGGCGAAGGAAGCGGGCTAGCAAACAGAGATTGGAGCTACTCGCATACCGCCGTCGTAGTATAGCACTGCGTGGTTGCTGCTTGTTTAGCTATGTTAGCTTTGGCGTGCCTAGCCGGGCCGCCCGCAGGCCAGTCCTTCCTTATCCGCTTTCGTTACCGCATGACAGACGTGCTTCCGCCCTTATTGTCGGGTGGCCGCGCAGCTAATTTCACCTGATGCAGTGTCTATCTACATGCGCACACGCGTGTAGATACATGTAACAGCGACAGCGACGACGACGACGACGACGACGACGACAACGACGAGGATGTCGTTTCCGTGACCGCACGGGGAACCCATTTACCGTAATACTTGCAGATGGTATAATCACGTTAAGCAGCGTCGTCGACGCTGTGTATCGCAGCGGCTTTCGTAATTAATAAGTTTAGCACGCGCTGTCCGTGCGCGCGCAGTTCGCCGAGCTCGCGTAAAAAGACCTCATCAGTCGCTCTCCCCCTCAGTCCTCTCGGGCTTTCCTTATATGCGCCCTCCCGCCGTTGCTCCCGCTCTTACGAAAACGAATGCGATGGAACAACAAGGTCCAAGGAGGGAGCACCGTCATGACCATTCTCTCATCGCGCGAGCGCGAGCGAGGGCGTGAGCTCGCCGGGAAAAGCGCAATTCGCTGCTGCAACGGCGCGCGCGCGCGCGCGCTAATAATCGCCGGTGCAGCCGGCTATTATTACAGTCCGCGCATTTGCATACACGCGTACAATTGTGTTGCAGGTCCTGTATCTCGTCCTAGGCTGCGCCCTGCTCGCCGCGGCCATGCCGGCCGAGCCCGACGTGGAACAAACCGGCAGATCGCGCGTCTCCGACGAACAACTGAACATGGCCCTGAGCGACAAGCGTTACTTGGCCAGACAGCTCAAGTGCGCCCTGGGAGAGGCGCCGTGCGACCCGGTCGGGCGTCGTCTGAAAAGTACGCCCTCCGGATCCAACCGCCGCGAATCGATCACCTGCTCTCTCGCCGCGATTTATCCCACGAGCGAGACTTAAAATAAGATTCTAATCCTCTTTGCCGGGCGAGTCAACGAACTCGCGTCGAAAGTCGATCGATTTTTGTGTGTTTTCCTTTTTTTTCTCTCTTTAGCACCGTCGAGTCGAACCGCAACGCGGCGGCGGTGAAGCAACCGGGCGGCGGGGGTCGGAAAATAGGGCGCTGCTCTCTTGACGTTCTTGCGAATTAATATCCGCGAATCAATATCCGAAGAGTAATTATTGCCCGCCGTTGGAGTCGATATCCTAGGAGCTCAATCGTTTTCCTCCGTCGATCGGTCTTCTTTTTTATCTTCTTATCGCGCGCTACTGCCCTATGAAGAATCAACGTCGGCTCACGGAGGTTACGAAGGTTACCCCGCGAATATATTCGCGGGAACGTTAAATGTCGAGCGTATCATTATATGACCGCGGTAGTATTATACCTGAGTTTCGAGGAGAGTCGTGCGCGAACTTTACACACACCGCGTAAAACCGGGCTCCGAAAATAGCAGCCGAATATTCCACGTCGTTATTTTATCCAGGTTTAGCGCCGCTGGTTCTGAGAGGCTCCTGCCCGCAATGCAGCAACGAGGAGACACGTCAGATCAAGAAGGTCCTTTCTCACATTCAGCGATCCTTCCCGAAGGAGTGGAACAGGATAGTGCAACAATACGCCGGAGTTCCGTAAGCGAGATGTGATATAAGCGAACCGACCACGACGGGGCTGGATGTACAAAGTGTAGTAACAGAATACGAGGACACACATAATGGATGTCATCTACGAGCGTATAACACCGATCACACTCGTTCACTCGATATTATCGTTAACGACCGCACGGAGGGGCGTGGCGCAGCCCAAGGAGACGGATATTTAAATTGTGTCGCATGCACACACGTCGCGTACAAATCGTGGAAATCTGTCCTTTTGGCGCGTAGCATCAAATTATCGATGCCGCTCTCTCACGTCGCATAGCGTTGAATTATACATCTGTTGAAAAAATATATTCTATTACTTTAATAAACATTTTATTCTCGTATCGCGTCAAAGTAACGTCATCCCCCAAAATAATTTCCCCTACTGTAAATAGATTTTATAAACATTCGGGCAAATGATTAACGACTCGCCTATAATAAGGGACCGGCTATATAACGCTAACGCTCGTTCTATATAATTAGCACTGACTCGCTATAACTTTGCTATAATTCTTCATTGTCATCGGCTTACTTCGCGACGATTATATGTGAGTATACTTATGTGTGTGTGCGTTTCCCTATTAATAAATATAATAGATTATTAGAGGAATATGAGTTTCCTCGCCGAGATAAGTCCGTGAAAAATCTCGCAGAGATAATATGAACGAATCATGGGGTAGAAAACGGTGCCGTCATATGAGCGCGATGTTGCAAACGAGAGCAGAGTGAAAAAGAAAGACAGACAGAGAGAGAGAGAGAGAGAGAGAGAGAGAGAGAGAGAGAGAAGAAGAAGGGGAAAGAGAAAGAGAGGAAGAAAAAGAATAGTACGCAAAAAGTAATAAGCCCGTATCTTATATTTTTGCCGGTGTTTCTCGCCTAAATTCCAATCTCAGGCCGACTGCATTATATATCGCAGCTGAATTATTTCGCGACGGAAAATCGATGTTACCATCGATAAAGCGTTTCATCGCGCGAACCGAACTTGTCAAAGAGTCGACTGTATAAAAAGCTTTGAATGAAACATTGTAAATCTCCATTAGACTCTTGACAGAACATATTATCTTGGAAGCTTAATATGAAAATAATAGAAAAGAACAGCGAATGTGTCAGCAAGGGCAAGGTAAGGAAGACAGTGAACATGTTATACGCTGCTCTCTCTCTCTCTCTCTCTCTGACTCTGGCTTGTAAAAGAGGTATAATTCTGGGAACGAATGTCCCTAAAGATTTAACTCAAATAAGGTCAAGTACCTTACTAAAGCTGGCTTCTGACAAAAGGCTAATGCTACGGATTTGACCTTAGATAAATAGTAGAAATAACAGTTATAATGGATCGATGTAAGTCTAAATAACCTTTTAGGGTCTATCCCCCCTCCTTTCGGTTAACTACTCTTGCTACTGCCACTTTTGCAATCTCTGAGAGAAAATGAAGAAGACAGAGAGAGCTGCCGTAGAAATATCTCGGTTCACCGCGCGCACAATTATCTTTGAACTGCGAGATTTCAATATCAGAACATACGTCGCGAGAGTTTCCATCCCCAAATAACGCTCGCACGTTTCCATCAAAATAACGTTCGCGCGTCGTTCGTCCCATCGTGACTTCCCCATCGTTTCTCGTCGCTCCGCGACGTTTCGAACTTTGGCTCTCTAGCCACAGCCGCATCGACTGTAACAACACGCCACAGGTTACAACTCACACGCATAAATACGCGCGCGCGCGCGCTCGTTACGCGTTCTACATTAAAACGTGACTCGCATGCGCGATGTATATAATGCCGATTAGGGTTATTGACATTAAATCTGCACGTGATCCGTGAGAACGAGCGGCGTTACACGCGCCATTATTCGAGGCTTATAAGTAGTATCCGGGGTACTCGCAAGAGGGTCGGCGAATGTTTGACCAGCTTTATCGAGTATTAATGACGATCAACAAGTTGCTAATTTATTTCGCACATAATTAACACTATATCTCGCGGCACTATTCAGTCGCCGTGATTGCGCCCTGATTCGGATTTCACTGCCCTTGCTGTGAATATTAATTCTACTGTGCCTCGGTGTCAAAGCCCTCGTATGCATGCTAATTTAAGTTTGCCCTGTATATCTGTGCGCTGCGCGAGAACAGGTTAGTAATTAAACTTCGTAAACACTGATAAAAGTGCGCGAGTAGTGCTGCAACGATATCGTCGCATTGCGTACGAAAAGACGTGTCCCAATATTTGCTCCCTCACAGCCGGGGAGCTGTTTGAGGAAACTTTTCAGCCGTCAGTTGACACACGCTTAACTCGCTGCAATAACGTCCGAATAGAGGAGCGCGCGGCAATTGGCCGGCAGCTAGTTACCGCCTAAAGTGATAGCACGTGATGCGGTGGTCGGCTCGACGCAAAAATCGATCTGTTTTTAGGCACCGCGCGAGAGCGCGCATAGTCGCATTGTCGCGCGCGGAACAGCTGCGCGTGTACGCGCGCGCGCGAATTAAAATTGCAGATATTACCGGGCCCGCGTGAACGAGACAGTGACGGACGCGTCCGATTCGAGCATCTGACGTTGTAATCATAAAGTGTCACGTTATTTTCACGACACGGAATCGGAAGGTTCGCGGAGCGCACAGTAGACGCGAACGTACCATTACCGGACCGTTGGCCGAAAAACGTTGTCTTACGGCAAGCGCGAATATTCCCTCGGGGCTGCCGATATTTTTTTTTTTCATCGACGACGCGCGGCCATTTTTCCTCAAGGCGAGTTCCCTTGGATTTTTATCGGCGCAACTAAAACACGTGTCTCGATCGCTGCAGAAATCATGACGAGAACGGCAGACGAAGAGGCGCGAGCGCGATGCACGAAAGTGCACGTTGTCCCGAGGCGACTGTAACAACGGCAGACAAATCTATCGCATCACCTCGCGAGTTGCGAATCTTTCAACGACACTCGCACGTCCTCGTCTGACTATTTATCGACCACGTGTACCCAGCCCATTCCGAACCGGTTTCCGATGATGTTTCCACGGGAAAAGCGAAGATCCCGACAATTCGGGAAATCCGATTTGCCACTCCGTCTATCCTCGAAAAATTCAAAATTGAAGTCTGCGTAGAAACTGGCGAAGCATGGCGCTGACAATTTCGACACACGAGGTTCGCGTGTACAGTACGTTCCCAAAGTGCGAATTCTGCGCGGAGGGCGCGCCCTCCGATCGAATTTTGCGCGTACGTACGTACGTACGCGCAAAATATCGTACATTCGCCGAGTTATTAAAGAGAGGGAGAAAGTGAGGAGGAAGGAAAAGGGGGGAAAAAATGAGAGATATTGCCGCGGGTCGGATCAATTTTACAAAGCAAATGCAACTCCAGCTAAATCTTGTTCCCTCATTAATTCCGTACTGAAAACTGTACTTCAACGTGATTCTCCGTGGAAACTTAATCGTCGACTGTACTTAGTCGCGGGAATCGGAGAATCGCGGAAAAAGGGGAGCGACGTCCGACGGAATTTCCGCTAGGGAGAAACTTTGGCTCGCGCGAGCTGATCGCGGAATACGCTCGGGCAGCTTACCCGAGTGTTCCCGTAACATCCTGTATAGAGAGCCCGACGGGAAAATTCGACTCACGTAACGCTTGCATTTTGCACCAGTGCAACACGATGCAATTTAAACGACACGTTTCGCAAGATGTAACACGAACTGCGCGCAGTGATTAATCGACCGCGTGTCGACGACCGCCGAAAGAACGGGCCCCGAGTGTTTCCATATCACACGCTCATCTCCGCGCGTGGTCGCGCGGATCAAAATTTCGATCCAACGGCTATTTAATTCCTCGCCGGATAATTAATTCCCCGCCGCCGTCGCCGATTGTGACTCCCGAAGCGCAGAACGAAGTGTCGTCGCTGTCCCCGTCGTCGTCCCAGCCAGTCGACCAGTCGAAGTGGAGGCTTCCACCTCTCGGCAAACATTTGTTCTTCTTGATTGATACGCGATAATACACTTTCATCGGGAGGGACAAATATTGAATTCCGTCGAAGAAACGAGGAGACGGTGTGTTTGCGCATCTCGTGTATATCACGCGGATGATATCGTACGTATGTGTGCCTTTTATGTATTTGCGCACTCATCGTCTACAATTTCATTGCTCATCCGCTATCGAACTTTATTTACACCCTGTCGAGTTTAAAATCCTTGACTCTCCGCCGAGGGAGTAAGAGCCGAGAAAAGCCGGGGAATAAAAATTTCTCTCTCTGTTTCTCTTTCTCTCTTTCTCTCTCTCTCTCTCTTTCCCTCTTTCTTCCCCCCCCTTCCCCTTCTCTTTCGACGCACCGATGCGACCTCGCCGTCTCGGACGCATCCGGTGTGCTTTAATTACTTTTAATTACGATAAATGACCTCTAACAATACCCGCATCCGTAATTAGAATTAAGTTGGAGAAGTAGTGAATATCGGAATTCGTTAAGAGAGCGAATCCGACAGGATGTAAATTCGGTCCAAAGCGTATCCCCACTTTTTTTCATCGAACATTTTAAGAAAATAGGTCGATGACGATGTGACGGCGACGCACGTATTAATATTTTCCGCGAAGCATGAGGAAATGCGAACGACCGACGCGACGGATAACAAGGATCTTGGAGCATGTTTGCACGGGGCTGTCAATTAATTAACGATCAGCCCACTCGTCACCCACTCACACTCACTGCGACGCTCATACACGTACGTGGAAGTAACGCGGCACTTGGCCGTACCTTGCCTCATTTCCGCCGTCGCGCACAGCGAGTTAAGGGTAATGCGGCACCCGTGCGATACGCGTTGCCGCACAAGCGATTTTCCGAAACGACGGTATCACGGCTTCGGGAAACCGGTGTTATATAGCCGTAAGATTATTCCGGTGTCGGGCAGATTCCCGTGGTCGTTCGATCGCGACCTCCGCCTTATAATTCGTTATACGAGCGTGGTAAAACGACCATACCACCCTTCCGCCCGCCCCCGGTTCGCGCCGCCGCCGCCGCCGCCGCCGCCGCCGCCGCCGCCACCGCCACCGCTACCGCTACCACTGCCGGCACCGCCGCCGTTGCAACCGCAAATCCACGACGTCGTTAAAACGACCAGTCTTCAACGTCGCCTGAAAGTTCCCCTGGCGCGGCTCATCCTGGGGGATCATCATTTCCTCCCTTTATCGACCGTCGTACAAAAGGCAACTCGTTTTGCCCGATGGAAAACAGATAAAAAGGCCCGTTCACTCTCTCCGCTCCTCTCTTTAAATATATATATATATATATATATATACACACACACACACACACACACACACACACACACACACACACATACACATACCAACGAGCTACGCGCAAAGTGCTGAGAGGGTCTGGCGAGCCGGGGGTGGGAAAAAACTTCCGACCGAAAGTTTTCAACGAGAAAGAGACTTCGTCGAGCGGCGGAGGACGGGCGAGAGTGATTTCTTTGGTTCGCCGCTCGAACTTCGCATTTTTGCAGCAGCAGCCGCCGCCGCCGT